AACTTGACCTTGTGTTAACAAATGATCCGTCATATATTTATAATGTAAAAGTTAATTCCCCTCTTGGATCCAAACATAAAAATTATCTACATGCTATGCTCTGCTGGGATTTTATAAGTAAGGACAATCGTTCGGACAGCTTCCACAAAAATTGCAAACATACCAACTTTAACTTCAAACGCATTGACTTTAAAAACATGATTAACTACGTCAACATGATTAATTGAGTCTTTGAATTTGCTAACCTGAAGGTTGACCAGTGTTATGCCTATCTACCGAAAGTATATCCACCACCATATCATCATTTACTCCAATTCGCCGCAAATTATTCTCAATTAGAGCCGACTCGAAGTGGAAGTTAAGTATGCTTCAATAGAGAAATCTGCTATTTTTTCCTAACTTTTTGCAGCACCCCCAGATCCAAAACACCTTGTAAAGCCGGACTTTAACAAAACCTCATAGAAAGTCAAAGTGCTTGTTCATTAAGCCTTTTGCACACACGAACGTTACATCATAAGTAAGTGCAAAGATAACCCTAGACTTTAGTATGCCTTAGTTAACAAGGACAAAAACTGAAAATTATTGTTCAGCGTTAGCACTACCTTTCTTTCTGGTCTTCACAAAGTCTTTCATTACTGGAGATGTTCCTGCTTGCTGGAAGCAAACCAACGTCACACCCATTTTTAAAAAAGATTGCAAGACAAAGCCAGTTATCGACCGTCCAATCTATCTCACCTCTGTTACATGTAAGGTGATGGAACGCTTAGTTCCTAAATCATGTTCAAGCATAGGACTGATCATAATCTGCTTGATAGTGATCAACAAATCAGAACTCGCTTCTACTTTTCAAACTACGCCCTTATGGCTTCGACACAACTTCATGTAGCTGGCTAGCATTTTTTATAAACAACCGCAGTCAAAAAATCGTACAAAATGACTACATTTCTGATTACTTGGATGTCCTCAGTGGAGCTGCGCAAGGTTCTGTAATAGAATCTTTTCTCTTCGTTATCTTTATCAACGATATGTCAAGCCTTACTCATCACTGCTGTAAACTCTTTGCATAATTATGTATATTATTATTTGTGTATAATTTAATTAAAATTGTGTATAACTATGTATATTATTATTGTATATTTATTTAAAAAAATAAATACACAATAATAATTTTAAAAAAATTAAAAAATTTTAATAAAATTAAAAATTGAAAAAAGATATTATCCGTAGCCATAAATAACTAGTAAAAAAGATTTGCAGAAAATCTTTTAATGACATGTTTATTTACTTTTTATTTCAGTAATTTTAAAAAGTAACAACCCCAAGCCTTAAAATCTATGCAGAGGACTCTTATTTACTCAAAAACGTTGCGACTCTTCTCTCATTCAAAAAAAAAAGTGCTAATTTTAGAAAGTTTTAATATTTGTCAGTAATTTCGGTTTTCATATTTTTCACATTAATCTTCTCGGTATTTCGAGACCAAGATTCCGAGATTTACCAAGAAAATTACCGACATTTCCGAGACGAGTGAGATCTAAAAGTATAGCTGCATGGTATTCAAAAACTTTTTTTTATAAACTAATGTAGTTTTAAATTGAAAGCTGACAAAACAAACCAGAAAAAGTTTGAAAACTTGAATAACGTTTTTTATTAAATGATAGATTCTTTTCAAAACCAAACTCTCAGTTGATGCAGCGGCTTTTCCTGTAGAAGCAGGCTGTAAGATAGTCGATGATGCAGCACTCCCTATTTTTAGCTGGCAACAGTCAATGTATCAGTACTTCCTTGTAAAAGCAAAATTTAATATAGTCGATGTAGCAACACTCCGCATGTTTTAAAAATGTTAAAACAGTTAAAAAAAAAACTATTAAATAAAAAAAAACTTTATAATTATTAATATTGAGGTTTTTTTAATATATATATATAAGTTTTTGAAAATTAAAATTTGTCAAACTTTTTTCATTTTACACTGTGTTTTATTAATCAAGACTCATCAGAAACCGTTTAAAATGTGATGGAATGTTAATGTGATGGAATGTTGATGTGATGGAATGTTGATGTGATGGAATGTTGATGTGATGGAATGTTGATGTGATGGAATGTTGATGTGATGGAATGTTGATGTGATGGAATGTTGATGTGATGGAACGTTGATGTGATGGAATGTTAATGTGATGGAATGTTGACGCGATGGAACGTTGATGTGATGGAATGTTGATGTGATGGAACGTTGATGTGATGGAATGTTGATGTGATGGAATGTTGATGTGATGGAATGTTGATGTGATGGAATGTTGATGTGATGGAATGTTGATGTGATGGAATGTTGATGTGATAGAACGTTGATGTGATGGAATGTTGATGTGATGGAAGTTGATGTGATGGAATGTTGATATATTTTGCTGTACTATGATATGCTGAAGAAGAGTTTTAATGCTGATCTTCCGACAGCATTAAAAACATTTAATTTATTAAAAAATGTATTGTTATTAATTAATTAAAAATTTCTAAGCTGTATGATAGATTTAGAACATTTAGACATTTGAACAAACGCACTATAGTTAATGGTTGGCAAAAACGAATTCCAGATTTTATAAGAGCTGTATACTCTGAAATCGACTAATGCGTTCGTTTACATTTGCTGTTGCATAGTGCACTCTGACTGTTCACAATATTTGCATCAGTATGCAAATATTGTCAACAGTCAGAGTGCACCATGCAGAAATATTCTTAAACATGCTGCAAAATACAAGATATGCATAAGATACATATCATATAAGAACTATAACCTGGAACTTAACATTTTTATCCTAACATTTTGAAATTCAGTTATGGTAAACAAAAACAGTGTTTAACTTACTATAACTCAATTTTAATAAATAAACATATGGTTATAATCTATATAACAACTGTTATTTTTTTTTAGTTATTGTCATTTATGTTAAAGTTATCAAGTTAAATTAAAGTTTTATAACTAAAGTTTAAATGCAAAAGTTAATTTCAATAAAAATTTTATCAGTATTATAAACATAAGTATTATATTACAAGTATTTACAAGTATCGGTTTTGTAAGTATAAGTTCGAAACGAGCTCTTGACATATTTTCGCGTCACGGTAAAGAAGGAGGCGTAAACTTCCTGCTTAAATGCACTTCCGCAGTGCTCTGTGACAAGACCGTTAGATCTTCTTGGGGCACCTAAAAACTACATACACGCTTTTTAGGAGATTAAGTTACTGCGCTATTTAATTTTGTGAAGTAATAATTTTGTTTCTTAAAAAAAGATATATTTATTTTTATTATTATTATTATTATTATTATTATTATATATATATACATATATATATATATATATATATATATATATATATATATATATATATATATATATATATATATATATATATATATATATATATATATATATATATATATATATATATATATATATTAACATACATACAAGAATCATTTTTTTTCCCGCCGTTTAAAGATGGCGATCGTAATTTAATAAAAAATTTAAACAAATATAAATCTTGTGTTATTGTATCAAGAAAACAGAGCATAAAAAAAAGAGCATGGCGATGGCAGCAGTAAAAGATTTGAACGAAAAAGTAAAGATTCTAGAAAAAAAGCTAGATTAAAAAGATGAAATCATTAAAAACCTATTTTCTCGAGTTGAACATTTAGTACTTTTAAAAATCAGAATAAAAATGTACAAACTTTAGATAATGTTGTTGTTGAAAACGAAATAGCATGGAACATTGTAGCTGGAAAAAATATTAGGAAGACTAAAGAGCAAATTAACATCATCAATACTATTGCAAATGAAACAGCGGAACGAATGAAAAAAGAAATAACATACTGATTTACGGAATAACCCAATGTAATAATGAAGACATTTTAGAAAAAAAAAATAATACAGAAAAATTAATACAGAAGCTATAAAATTAATACAGAAGCTATAAAAATAAAAAAACTGACACGTCTAAGATCTAAAACCGAAGGTAAATCAGCTCCAATAATTCTTGAATTAGAAAGTAAAGCCTGTAGAAATTTAGTGTTAAAAAATGCATACAATAACAAGGAAAAAATTAATGGTATTTATTTCAACGTTGATATGACTGAAGCAGAAAGGTACCTTATGTATCAACTAAGAAATCAAATCAAAGAACTTAATACTTCAATTACTAATACATCATCGATATATTATGGTATCAGGGATTACAAAATAGTGAAATTAAAACGTACACAAAATTAGCAATCAATGAGTTTAAATATTAGTTCATTCAAACCACTTTTGCCTAATAATAAATTCAATAAAAAAAACAATGTGACGAATACATTGACTAAATATGTTAAAAAATCTCAGACTCGTGATGTAATTATTTCCGAAAAACGTAGAATAGATATAACTAAAAATTGTCTAAGTTGTAGATACACAAATGCTACATCATTAAACAATAAATTTGACTTGTTGCTATTAGATATTGCAACCTTTAAACCTGATATCTACATGATCGCAGAAACTTGGTTTAATGAAAACTCAGTTACACATGTAAATGGTTATCAAATAATCCATAATAATAGATCAAATAGGAGTTCAGTTAAAGCAACATAGATAGCAACACCACATGGAGGTGGTGTTGCTATCTATGTAAAAGAAGGTCTTTTAGTTTACTCACACAATGGTAGTTTCACTAAAAATATCAACATTGAACATACTTGGTGTATTTTAAGTATAAAAGATTAACAAACTTTACTTGGCTGTATTTACCGACCACCTGATGCATCTGAAGAAATACATAACTATATCTGTAAAATAATAGAAGCAGCTAAAAATAAAATTGATCATAACAGGTACCCTGGTTTACTTATTTCAGGAGATTTTAATTACCCAAATATAATCTGGTAAAAAAATAATGTTCAAACCATGAAAAAATATGATAAATACTCCACCAAATTTGTTGAATAAATAAATGACAACTACTAATATCAAGCAGTTATGTCACCTACATATAATGCAGATTTAATTAATGGTAATATCTTAGATTTAATTTTAACAGAAACACCTGAACGTATATACAAAATCCATCATAACCCAACTCTAGCCAACACTAGAAATGGACGCCAAATACTTAGCTGGAAATATTTTTTAAAAAGCACTACTAAAAAGTTAATGTCAAACTATGGGAAATCTGGATTTAACTATAAACTTGGTAATTACAGAGTCATAAATAAAGCTATTAATGAAAATGATTGGGAAAGTCTTTTTGGAAAAAAATAGTATTGATGAGTGCTATGAAATATTCTTAAATATCTATGATAAATTATGCAACAAATATATTTCTAAAAAAAAATATACTTCAATAAACAAGCACAGCCCAAACCTTGGATTGATAGAGAAGCAAAAAAAGCAATAAGAAACAAAACAAGTTTATGGCACAAACTATTATCTAATGGTTTTAAATGTATCCAGCTGAAAGTCCAATATATTTTAATCAACAAAACAATAAAAAATCTTATTAAAACAAAAAGCATAAATTATAAAAAAAAAATAGCTGACTCATCGAAAGAAAATCCAAAACTATTTTATGCATATGTTAATTCAAACAGAGAAATAAAATTAGGCATTAATATAATAACAGATAAAAATGGTTCTTTACAAACAAATCGTGATTATATTGCTAATATCCTCAATGAAAACTTTCACTCAGTATTTTTTATAGAAGATCCAACAAATTTTCCTAATATTGCATTAAAAACAAGCAAGACTTTAGAATTAGATATAGACTCAATAATAACTCAAGACATCGTTAGAATTAAACTAAGTGAACTAAATGTCAATAAAGCATTAGGAGCAGATGGTGTAAGTTCATATGTGTTAAAAAAATGTCAAAATAGTTTTTGCAAACCTCTAGAGTTACTATTCAAAAAATCCTTACAAGAAGAACAAATTCCACTCATATGGAAAATGGCTAATGTAACACCACTACACAAGAATGGAGATAAAAATAATCCTGCAAACTATAGACCAATTTCATTAACGTCAATACCATGCAAAATTCTAGAGTCAATCTTAGGTAACAAAATAATGGATTACATGTTAGCAAACAATTTATCAACATGGTTTTCAAAAGAACAAAAGCTGTACTACTAATCTACTAGAAACACAAAATATTTTACTTGATGCTATTGAGAATGGCTGGTGTGTTGATGTGTTGTATACAGATTTCTCAAAAGCTTTTGATAAAGTACCTCATATGCGATTGATGTCAAAGTTAATATCATATGGTATAGTTGGAGTAATTCTAAATTGGATAGAAGCCTATTTACATGATAGAAAGCAACGAGTAATTTTAGGGGATTGTGTATCAAAATGGCTAACAGTTGAGAGTGGAGTTCCACAGGTTCTGTCCTTGGGCCTCTTCTGTTTCTAATTTTTATAAACGATCTGCCAGACACATTAAAAAATAATATTAAATTGTATGCAGATGATAGCAAAATTATAAATATTTTTAAATCAGATAAAGATATCCGTATTAACAAATTACAACTAGATATTGATAATGTTATGAAATGGTCGTCACTATGGTTAATGAAATTTAACTATGAAAAGTGTAAAATTATGCACATTGGTTTTAAAAATCCTTGTATAACTTATTCAATGTTCGACGCTGAAACTCAACAGAATAATATATTAGCAGCATCAAAAGTAGAACGTGATTTAGGAGTAATGATGCATCTAATTTAAAATGGACCAGTCATATTGATAAAGCTGTTGGTAAATCAAATCAAATGCTTGTTCTTATTAAACGAACTTTTAAATATTTCGACTCAAATATGACAAAAAATTTTATACAACTTTTGTAAGACCGCATCTTGAGTTTGCAATTCAAGCATGGTGCCCATATCTGAAGCAAGACATCTTAAAGTTAGAAAAAGTACACAGAAGGGCAACAAAACTCGTACCAGCTTTTAAAAAAATGCCATATGAAAAAAGATTACAGTTAATGAAATTAACAACTCTAGAAGAACGCCGTTTAAGAGGAGATCTTATTTTTCAATATAAAATACAAAACGGTTATGAGAAAATAAATTGGATAAACAACTCGACATCTCAAGTTCAATTAAAACCTTACAATTTTCGTAGTCATAACCAAAAGTTAACAAAGGCAAATTGTAAGAGCAATTATGGATATAATTTCTTTTCCTGTAGAGTCGTAAATGTTGGAATGGTTTACCACCATATATTATCGAATCAATGACAATTGACCAATTCAAAAATAAACTTGATAAATCAGATTACTGCAAAAATTATTTATTAAATACTAAATAATATCTATATACATTGAAAAGTAAACAATGCTATTATAAAACATTTATAGCTGTTATAGCACAACATCTTCTGTTGTTGTGCACCACAATTGATTTCATTAGTTGTCACAGTGTACATTATTATTATTATTATAAGAAAATTTTAATACTATGCTTTATTGCATTTTCAAAAATTGACTTGAATAACGAGACTAGCTTATGTACCAACCGGACTGAGAAAAACATGTTGAATCGTGTATACAACAACTAAAGATAAATTTAAAATATACAATTAATGCAAAAGTTGCTTAAATAAGTTTTTAAAGATTTAAAAATTTTAAAATTAGTATTTATTAATTTTTAATTTTTTAATTTTCGTTTAACGATTAGTTATTAGATTAATTTTAATTAATTAGACAAATTTACTTGTTATTTGTGTTGCAAAAACGCGTTGGCTTCTTACAACATCAATCTTTGGTGCATAAAGAAGATGAAACTAAATTGAATTCTTAAATTTATTAACTAGAAGTGACTCAAATAATAAATTAAGAAAGTAATTTAAATTAGTAAAACAAAAAAAACTTCAAGCTGACAAAATATTAAAAAGACTTCAAAACCATCGAGTATAAAAACTGATTAAGTCTGATTTTGTTTGATAATATATTTTTTTTATACATGGGTAGGCTAATGGTTTACTTTATTAAACAAACTTTCAATTAATGTTAAAATTATTCATAAAATTATTCATAAAATTATTCATAAAATTATTCATAAAATGTAATATACCCAGTGGGCACAATGACGTTGAAATAACGTTGAAACAACGTCGCAAACCGACCATATACCACGTTGAAACAACGTTGAAATTTGGTTGAATTGGAAATAAAATCCGACGTCGAAAACTACGACGTTGAAACAACGTCGATGATTACGTCGTTTCAACGTTGATCTAACGTCTTATCGACTATATATCAACCATATTTCAACTTTGAATAGATGATATATTCGATTGATACGTAGTTGATTAGACGTTAAAACAACGTTGAAACAACGTTAATTCAACGTTGATTTTTGTTTTTTATTTTGGTTAAATCCAATTAACTAAAAAATTATCTCAACTTTAATTGCAATAAAATAATACAATAAAAAAGCAATAAGTTGCGCAGAGGATATTATATTTCACGTAAATTAATCAGATACAACTAAATTGCTTCAACGGACTCTATAAACAATGCAAATAAAGTAAAATGTTTGAAAAAAAAAAGTTTTATTTTTTATCAGTAATATATTTATCAATTTATCTATAATAACTATTATCAATAGTTCCAGAACAACTAGGAAAAAGTATGAATGTTATACATCGGGTGAATTGCCTTTTACGCGCCGATCACCACCATTTGATCTGTCGAGTGCGTATTTTAATAAAGTCATTATTCCTTTTCTTATTTCGGTAACTGTAGCAGTCACTTTAGTTGACAAACGCTCTCTATAAAAAAAGGTATTGCCTGAGTTTTTGCATCAAATACATCAAAAAGTTAAAAATAAAATAGCATTAAAAAAACGAACTGTGATTTTTAAAAAATATATAATTTTACACTTAACTTACAAGTAAATACCTAATGTTTGTTCCTTTAAACTTCTCTTTACCTTTACCGCCAGCCATATTAAATTTTGATTATAAACCGTTGGTCAACAACCTGCATTATACATTGTTATTATTATTACAGTTACATTAAAAATTGCTAAAACTAAGTAAAAATAATATCAAACTTTTTATATTTACCAGTGTCATTTTCTTTAATATGACTGTAGAATAAACAACCAAGTTCACACAAATTATAATTCTAAAATAGAATTTAATGAGGAAAAAATTCCTTTAATTGTTATGTACTTTTGAAAAAAATTTTATAAAATAATAATATTTTTATAAAAGTTCTGAAGACTCCTACAAAAATTGCTATAAAAGTTTTTTTTTCAAATATCATAAAGACTTTATAAAGTAATTTTTACACAAAGTAGAGAAATT